GGAATGCGTTCAATTATTAATTAGCGCGTTTTAAGCTAATTAATGAGTTCGGTTCGTATGTTAATTCAACAAATAAAATTTTATATAAAAAGTACTATCTTCTCGAAAAAGAATCAAAATTTTCTAATGTATGGAAGAGTAGAAAGATAAATTAACTAAATAAAATTCGTAATCGGCGGAAAAATTGAAAAACTTAATTAAATATATAAAAAAAAATAGTAACTTCGTTACAGAATAAACCAATAATAGGTAACCGAAAAAAAACTTTTCACACTTGGAAAATGTCTTGTATTTGTATTTGTATTGACTAAGAGTGGGTCCCATGGGACTCTCCACTGCGGCCGCGAGGGCCTATTGTGGCTCAGTTTCTACAAGCTCTAATATACAAAGAGCGTTAAAGTACCACCCTCAAGACCCAGCCTTTTAACATAGGCCGTTATGTCCGAGGGTGATATGTCTCCTAGTGATATGTCTGATAGGTCTAGCATGGGTTTGCCAAACATCTCAAACCTGGTCCTGCCCCCAGCGGGGCAGGTACACATAACGTGCTTCATTGATTCGTCATCTTCCATACAGAGTCGGCATTCGGCGTCTTCCACCAGTCCCGTCCTCTGTAGGTGAGATCTCAGCCGGCAGTGACCCGTGTACACTGCAGTGAGTGTACGCGCTCCATTCCTACCGGCCTTTAGGAGTTCTCCTGTTCTATGTTTGGATGGCCCTGCTAGGATTTTCTGGGCATGTTCCATTCCAGGACTGTCATTCCAGTCCCGGTACGTCGCACCCCTAACCCATTCACAGAGCCTCTCTCTTGCGAGATTTTTTGGAACGCTAAGTGTCGGTTCTGGGTCCACGAATGGCGAGCCTGCACCAACTTTGGTGAGGGAATCAGCACGTTCATTTCCCTCTAGGCCGACATGTCCCGGTATCCATATTAGCGACACTTTGTTCCTATCTCCTAATATATTGAGTAGTTTCTTACAATGAAGAATCTTGTTGTACTTGTTGTGCTTTTCGTTGCCTCAAGTGCTTTCAGCGCGGCTTGACTATCCGAAAATATGCATATTGTTTTCCCGGTGTATTGCTGTTCTACCAGCAGTTGCACAAAGGTTTCAATAGCATATAGCTCAGCTTGGAAAATTGTGGTGTGTTTTCCAAGACTGTGGTAGATCTTAGTCTTCGGACTGCTGCAGTAAATTTCTGCGCCAGATCCTTTTGCGCCTTCAAAATGTCTTCATCCTCAATGTCTGTTTCAGCCAATGTATCCCTTAGGTTATATACTAGCAGTAGGAATGCTGACATATTCGTACATAATTTAATTAAGTCATTATATTTTAGCTTTGATATGGGAATAGCGGATTTAATTTGTTAGAGTTACTTTTACTTTCTGAACTTCAATTTCAACGCTTGGTGCTTCCTTATCCATAGAGTTTTTAATTATTATTTTATTAGGATCTTTCTTTTTAAATGTGCATACACGGATTTTGCTTATTTCCTGAGAGATTTCCTTTAAAATATTTGTCTGCTAGCGTATCCCACTTATTAAAATCCTTAGAGGTCAAATATTGCACTTTGTAGGGCCTTGGATTCTGTCTTGCTGTTTCGAAAACTGTGTACCACTGGGAAGGAGCCCATATTATAGAATGTTTTGTATGTCTCTCAATTACAGCATGAACTGAATCGACGGGCATATATGTATGTCCGGTGAGTAATAAGTTTATTTGGATAATTTCAATACAATTTATAATTTATAATAATAAATAATTTCATTACAATTTTGTAGGGTCGCATGCATCATAGCTATAATCGTCCGGTTTCTGTTCTGCCCAGGACAAGAGTCACAGTACAAGAGTAAACGAGTAACAAACTCGCGTTCGTCAACCATGCAAATATAAGTGTGTAAAATAGTTGCCATTTCATTGGCTCCACGTTTCTTCTAAATCGTTGTCGCTGCCATTTGAACAAACATAGTCCTGGTCACTAGGTATATCATAGATTTCAGCCAGTTCCATTTCAAATTCTTCTCGAGACATCCCCACTAACTGGAACGGTAGTGGACTTTCCAATGAATCCATTACAGTTATCTGTAACAAAAAAAAACATTTAATAAAATTATACCTAGTTGCACCGTGATCCAGAAATTGGACCATAGTACTTTTGGCTTTTCTCGCTTATTTTTTAATTTTCTATTGTGAATATAGAATAATACGTTTCTATTAGTAGTGGGAACTATCGAATGAATACTATCGAAACATTCGATAGTTGCAATTCATTCGAATAATTCGATAGTTAGTAAGCAAACATTCGTTGAAAACTATTCGAATAAAAATTATCGAATAGATCCGTCATCTGCCTTGAAATATTGTATTCTAGTAATTCGGCAGCAAAAACCATTCATTTATAAAATTCATTCATTTATAAAATTCATTCATTTATAAAATTCATTCATTTATAAAATTCATTCATTTATAAAATTCATTCATTTATAAAATTCATTCATTTATAAAATTCATTCATTTATGAAATTCATTTATTCGTCAGGATCGATTATAATAAAATATTAACTGAATTTTAGTTGTCACCCGGCGACGTAGGTTTTTTTCCGAGAAAGCGGTCGGTGGCAATGCTATGAAAGAAGCCGGCATCTTTGATTTTTTGCGGAGTCATATATAGATAAGGACACATTATTTTCTTTATTGAGGTGCTAGTATTTACACAGAAAATACATTATGAAGGGCGCTGTTGCCATATTTTTGTATTAGTTGATATTAGCAAAGAATATTATTGTTTGGCTTTAGTTAATTAGGGAATATAAAGACATACTATCTATTCTGCATTTTTTTTATTAATATTCTGTTGTTACACTGCAATAATACTTGTTATTTTGGATGTAGGAAAATTATTTTTAATGTTTTTTAGCAAAGACTGGTTTAATAAATAATAATAACAATAATAATTTGTTATACCTATTAACAACAAAATTTAAAATCATTTAATATAAATATTTTCTTTTAAGTAGTAGCAAAATATAAACAACAAATTAGATGTCAAAATTATTTATATTAGATCCTATTTAAAAATAATATAGTCTCTAAATTTTTTGGCAACGGTGGTTTATTAAATAATAATAATTACAGAACTAATTTGTTATATTAACAACAAATTTTAAAATCATGAAATATAAACATTTATTAATTTTCTAAGCATGCAGTGTAATGTAAGGAAAATATAAATAAAAAATTAGAAATCAAAATTATTTATATTAGGTGCTTTATATTACTATTTAAAAATTATATTTACTTTTACTGGCATTTACTTTAAAAAATAAATGAAATATTTTTTCTTCGCAAAAAACTACATGTAAAAGAATTAGCATAAACAAAATATAAACATCGTTAACTTTTTTTTTTAAATTGGCACGTGTAAAACTTTCATTTTAATTTTCTCACCCCATAGTTTGAGTTCGATAACCATTTACTTAAATATGATTATACAACCACATTACTTAAATATGATTATTAAGTTCAACTAATTCATATTATTAAAACATCTAAAATACAAATATGTATTTTTAAAATTAATTGTAAGTTCATCTCATCTCTCTTAAAAATTGCTACTTCTCAAAATTTCCCATTAAAAATAGATCATATACCATATAAAATTAAATAATTGAAAGATCGGACTACGGAAAACCACACAAATTTTCGGAAAAATTTTGACCACCTGCACATGCACACAATCGTCAATAAATAAAATTAAAAAATAACTACTATTTTAGTATTTTAACTATTTTAATAAACGCAAAAATAGCACAGTATTTATACGGCGAAGTTATAAAAATTTGGAAGAACCAATAATGCACTGACGCATACAAAATCCAAACGAATACTAAATTTCATTTATCAAAAGCATTCGATAGTCATGGCTCAACGATAACCATTTAGTTGCACGGCGAGGTTGTCACATATGCTTTAGTTTACAAATGAATGAATGATTTTATTCGAATAAAACCATTCGATAGTTGAAATCATTCATTCATTAACCATTCGATAGTCTAATTCATTCGATAGTTCCCATCGCTAGTTTCTATACACACCTTTTTACCTACCATAATTAATTAAACCAAAATAATGCTTACCTTTACTATGTTTTCTAACAAAAGAAATCGTTGATTTGTTTTCGGTGCACTTATCAGAATGAAGCACGTGTTTTCCGGTAACAAATTAAAATGACCGTTAAATATTAGCAGTACACGCTCGACGATAAAAATTTGCGATTTTGGTCTATATAATAACAAAATTGCGATTTTGGGCGATATATGAGGCGCTGAAAAAATTTCGATTTTGGGCGATATTTGAGGCGATAATATTGCGACTTTGGGCGATATATGAGGCTCTCGCAACATGGCGATTTTGGGCGACATCTGACAGGCAGTTTAGCGACAAGCGTTTACGAAAATCTGGCCACACTGTAAAACAGCAACCTTCAATACTGCAAGAATGTCTTAACTGGTGCATGATTGTTTTAAGATGCCAAATAAAATAGCTTAAAATTCACTAAGCTAGGAATTACTCTCGGGTAAAACAGGATAAGCGCCATGTTGTTCGAATTTTTAATTGAAGTGTAATTAGTTAAGTAATTTTACTTTCTTGTCACTATAAAGGAAGAACAGTTTAAGTGCATAACTTTTGAATAATGTAGTTGAGGTAAAGTTGAGACACCGGTTGAGGGTAGGTAGGCTAAGTAACACTTTATTGAAATACGGCAAAATAATGGTCGCTTGGTAAAGAAAAGTTGAGATACTCTTCAAAATTCATGGTTGACTTAAGCGACATAAAAATGATTGTATCAATCTTAAAAGTAGTCCAATCGACGCAGAAAAAAAAAGTGGAGCTTAGTAGGGTTTATTAGTAATTTTTGTAAAAAATGTCGCTTGTGTCTTTCTTCCTTTCAAGCATCGATATCTATACGATTTTTAGTTATAAAGTTATAAAGAATCGGAAGGTTGAATCGATTCAAGGTTGCTGAATCGATTCAAATCATAATCGAATTGATTCTGGCCATCCCTACCCCAGGATAAGAAGAATGACAATATTGTAGCATGTTATTTAAAATTCAAACAATTAATATAAAGGTACAGAATTATTTTATTTAAATAATTCAAGTTTAAATCCTCGCACCGAGATGGCATTCTAAGTATTGTTATTATCTTGAATTTTTTCTTCAAGTTTATTTCTGGCGAGTTATTTCAGTCCGGTCGAAGTTTGTTCGTCACTTTATATCTGACGGTGTATAGTCATACCTCGTGCCTACCTTCCCTCGCCATATTGGTGGCTAAAGGCTGAACCCGATAGAGCTATCGGCGTTTGTTGGCATTTTGCCAATTTGTTTGAGAAACCCCTCTGAGCAGAGGTAAGACTCTTATTTTAAACGTAACGTTAAGTAACGTTTCCTAGGACCTTTTTTTCTTTGTTTTTGTAGTTTTTCCAGTGGTTTTTTCTTGTAGTTTTTCCAGTGGCAGCATTTTAGTTTATGGCACACGTTTTATTTTAAGGCATGTTATGGTGGCTTTATTTTCTGGTGCCATTTTGTTTTTTTGCACCTGACATTTGGTCCACGTTTTGTCCCTGCATTTCACACTGGGAATATCGGAGGAACCTTCTGAACCCATCCAAACTTTTCGATCCTGTCTGTCCAGAAACAACTTATATCACCATCCAGTTCCAGTAGCAGTTCACCACAACCAGCTTGTGACCAGCACGGATTAAAAACAGGCCAGATCATTTGATTTTATATCTATATAATTTAAGTTCATTTGAATTCATTAAGCCCTTCAGGCATATTATATATTTGATTGCTTAAGAATTCACTTTGATGTATTTTATTCATGTTATGCATATTTCTGATATTTACATTTTTTCAATATAAAGAGTCCCTACATTTTGGTACCAAGATCGCCAGACTTTATGCGGAATGATTAGTAAAATATTATTCAGAAGCGTGCAGATTTAAACTACCATTAATAAGAGTGATCTATTTTGACATACAATTTACCAACAAATATTTTCAAACATCAATTTTTTCATATACTTATTTTATTCTATTTTACATTTAATTATTAATTATACTTAGTTATTAGTTTATCTCAGCGTTTCATTTGTGTAATTCCTAAAATAAGTTGTTGTATAGCATAAGAGTTGATTTCTCAGTTTTCAACTTAGAAGTTTTCGAAAGTAAACGGAAAACTGAGTGGCGCCCAGTATCTTATAAAGACGTAAGTATCAAAGTTTAATTTTCACTAGCTTACGACTCATTGCTCACCGGCGAACAGCTCCGTCGCATAGTGTTAGTTGTTTTAATATTTTTCAAAAAGAAAATTCTTATAAAAAAACATTCCATATTTTTTTAAACTTCTAATGTTACATTGTATATTGGATATGCCCATCATATAGAAAGTCGCCGTAAAAGGACCAAATTAAAGAAAAATTTCGAAAGATAAGATCTGCAAAAATATTATTTTAGGGTCTTATGACAATAGTAAATAGTTAAACTCGATTCTCAACAACCAGAGCACACCAATCATATATAAATAAACACTACTCAACTCTGGCTGGCATGACCACAACACCAATTAGATTGATGCCTACACAGCAGAAAACTATCAAACTAACCTCAATCGTAAATACCAAAGGTAAACATCTCACTACTTAATTAAAAATAAGAAATTATTCGCGACTATTTAGGCTCGGTGTAGTCCCAGGAGGTGATGAATACATTGTTAAGTAGTCTGCTTAAAAGTATGTGTTTTATAATGCCTAACTGATATATTTGTTTTTAGCTACCGATCCCTAGGATTACTGTCTTAGATGTAACGGCAACCTATGATATCAAAGTCAAGTTAAGCTGCAATCAAAATTAAACAGTGCCGTAACCCAGAAGAACCCATAATTTGGACACATTCCAAATTAACTTTTCATGTTATTGTGTTAAGCATTCGAAAAGACAATCGGTGAAAGAATGTAAAGTTTGTTTATAAATACTCAATTGCTTTGTTAAATTATAAATTACTTGCCGTAAGTTTGTAAATAATTTTAAAATGCTAACGGGGCTGCCGCCGCGCCGCGCCGGCGCACAGTGGAACGAGCTTATGGGAGCGGTTGGACATGAGGTTTTTTACTTGATACTTTCAATATGGAAAACTTAAAATTATTTATATATATACTGTAATATTATGTAAAAAGTGTCGTCTTAAATTATAACAAAAAATTGTTGCCTTACATAACTTAAACCATATATAGGGCGCCCCAAAGATATAGCGTGTTTTACCAAAACCACTTTTTTTTTAAAATCCATAACTTTGCTTCAATGTGATCAAATTTTTTCGTTATGAGTTTTTTTTTGGAAAGGAGGAACTTTGAGTTTTATTAGAAAAAATATTTTTAATAGATTAATAATTTATTATATAGGGTGGTCAACAAAAATGAGCCTTTGAAAATTGCTCATTACTGAAACATTTTTGGTCCGATTTTATTATTTGTGGTAATTTTGGAAAACCAATGCTTTGAAATATACAAATTTAATGTCAAATTTGATATTTCATAAAAGTTAAAGATGGCGGATAATTTTATCAATTAGGTACTTTTAAGTACACCCTCCAAAATACAAAAGAGAAATACTAAGGATTATCAGCTGTCTATAAACTCATCCAAAATATTAAAAAGCTAGATATTGTCAGGTAACATGTAATATATAACTTAAACATTAATTCGACAAAGAACAATAAACATTTAACATTTTATAAAAAAACACAACAAAAAGATTAACTCAATATAACTCTTCGATAATTAAATAATGTCTATACAATATTGTTTTAATTTTTAACATTTATTATAATATGTGGTCATCGGACAAGTCTAACAAATCTAAAACTTCTGAAGACAGTTCAGCGATATTACTTTTTAGAGATATTAGAGACCTGTCCCTGGTAACTACAGGATCGGAAGCAAGTAAAAGACTATTAAAAATATCTTCATTGTTAGCACACCTAAAATGGCTGACATAAAGAACCAACCATATAGTTAAACATATTTTTTTGCAGTTTCAGTACCTAACAAAACTTGTTTTATTAATTTTTTTTCCTGAAGCTATAGCTGTTAGAAGAACACCAAAACGGGCAATAAGATTTTCGTTTAAGCCAGTAATTTTAGCAGTAAGGGAAGGATCGCGAAAAAATCTCCTTGCAGTGTTGCCCGTGTTGGTGGTCCCTTTACCTTGTTTTACAATATCTATCAAAAGACCAGTTTTTTTCCTAAATTCATTTTGAATTTCTATCTTTCTTCTATTTCTAAGTTCCTTTTCTTGGTTAGTTCTCGCGGACCAAGTCTGGAAAGGTAGGTTATATGCTATATGCAATAGGCACTCGTAACAGCGTATCCAAGCGTGGAGCGAAGATAGTCCATAACAAAAATTATTTTCGTTAATTGCTTTTTGCATTACTTTATCCAAATTATTCATTTCAGTTGGAGATGCGTTGCATATAAAACATCTAAAAGTAAAGAAAAAGAAAAATAACAGATACATGCAAATATAAAGAACCTACCTCATAGCCGATTTGGTGTTCGTTAAAATGTTAATTATCTTAACGTCAGCCATCGTAAAAAGCATTTTGTAATAAATTTTCATATCTTTAAATAACGTGGGTTGTAGATCTCCAATTTCCCTTTCAATTTAATTTTTAACTGATTTTACCAGTTCTTCGCTTTCTTTGTTAAAATAAAAATGAATTGGCCTACATAGCGTCGTAGAACTTGGAGTCAGATTTTGCCACAGGACAATATTCGAGTCATTCGAATGCAATTTAATCGGGACCAAGCTGCTTATGAAAACATTGTTATCTTTACCATTTTCATTTTCAAATTGAATATTGTACTCGGCCTCATCTGATGCCCCATCAAAACCCCATTTTATAATTAATGTATATGATTTTGGTTCTAAATATTCTCTACTTTTTTCAACATTAATTGATTGTAACCGTCTGGTAGTTGTTTTGTTTAATAAGGCCTGTAACTTAATTTTAACGCTCGTTTCAGTAATTGTTATGGATTCTTTTTCAGGATAGCCTTCTGATTTGGCCTTCTGTATTTGGTAATAGCTTGGAAAAACGTCCACATGTGTAGCCGCTCTAATTATATTATATTGTTGTTTACTTAGATTAGCTCCTACATATGCAGCAAGCGCTTTTCCTCTTGATAGTTTTATATCTTTGGAAGAGGAGTGCATTAAGTTTTCGCAAACCTTTTTAACCTCATCAGCGTATTCAGGGTGTTCTGTTAGGAAATTTAAAATGTACTGTATGTTTGGCTTCATGTTTTTCTTCGCCACATATTCAACGTGCTCTTCGGGACTGTCTTTTAAATATTGTGTTTTTCTTCGCTTTTGTCGGTCACTCAATAAACTGAAACTTTTGGACGTAGAAAGCTTATGTTGCATCTGAAGATGTTTCCCTAAATCAATATTGCCAAAGAAAAGCTTCTGCAACCAAACCTTATTTTCTGTTATAAATCTGGATTTTGTTCTCCTTGAACATTGCCATCTTGAAGACAGTTTAGAACTAAAGAATTTTACCTTTTCTTTAATAAATTTGTTCTCTTCCTCCAAGTTCAAGAATACCAGAGTTATCTTTTGCACCAGTTTGTTATCACATAAACTCACTTTTTTCTCACACAGATTATTAAAAATACCTTGATTTGTAAGCTTTTTAAGATCCATCACAGCAATCAGTAAATTACGGAACAATAAAGTAACCCGCGTTGATAACTTACACTTAAAATCAAAACCAAGTAGCACATTATTATTTGTTGTTGTTGTTGCCTGGATACAGCGAGTCATTTGTTCCAAAGCAGTCGGGATTTTTAGGCCATTCGTAGATTACTAAAGCTGAATTTTGCCCACAGAAATACTGCGTGCGTCTTTTTATTTGCATAATTATTGTATTTTAATAAATGCGGTTTTAGACAAAGTTAATGTTTTCTGGACAAAATAATGTAAAAAATAATGGTTTAGCATGTTTTTCGTTTCGTTTTTCAATATTTCAGCCAAGTGATAACCATATTAAATTACTGCATATTTGAAAATTATTTGAACGACTAGCATTATTTAATAATGCTAATCGTTCAAATAATTTTCAAATTAACAAATTTTGTTAATGTCAGGGTAAATTTCAAATAAGGCATGTGGGAAAGTATCACTTTACGCATTTTTTAGGAAAATAACTATAGTAAAGTGATAGAACACTAATTTCTCATTAACAAGTCATATTTGAAAATTATTTTTTTAATAGTTCTGCTTATAATAATAAAAACCGTAGATGTATCCTAAAAGGAGGGGGGGAGGGTGCAATGATTTGGATATAATCTACTAATATACGATTTATACATAAATGTTAAGAAGGATAGTACCTAATAATAATATCGGAATGACAATATATTTTTAAAGCCAGACTTGTTCAACCTATGTAAATTACTTAAAAGCCCCCTGAAAATAGTATACATCGTATAGTTCAAAATTTGTTTTTTCATAAAACGGCAAATTGGGGCCACTTTTTTATATATGTCTATAATAAGGGTATAATGGTCTACTATATGCCGCTATTCTTTTTATGCTACCTTGCGGCACTTACTTCATATTTCTTGATGATTAGATCTATAATAAAAATTCAAAACTTTTTAATTCAAAAATATATAGTGGGTGATTGATGAGATGTATGT